GAGTCTTGCTAAGTGCTCAGTGCTTGTCTAAGTGTTTCCTATGAAGTAGCATTAAAACCTGTGTGGGTCCCAGAGTCCCCGTCTCAATCCAGCAATGTTCTTAGCTAAGGAGTGCTGAGTCTTGCTAAGTACTCAGTGCTTGTGTAAGTGTTACATATGAAGTAGCATTAAAAACTGTGTGGGTCCCAGAGTTCCCATCTCTCACCAGGAATGTTCGTCGCTAAGGAGTGCTGAGTCTTACTACCAGCTCACTGCTTGTCTAAGTGTTTTTAATGAAGTATCATTAAAAATTCTGTGGGTCCCAGAGTCCCCTTCTCTAACCAAGAATGTTCATAGCTAGGGAGTGCTGAGTCTTGATATTTGCTCAGTGCTTGTCTAAGTGTTTCCTATGAAGAGGCATTAAAAACTGTGTGCCTCCCAGAGTCCCTGACTCTAACCAAGAATGTTCATAGTTATGGAGTGCTGAGTCTCACTATGTGCTCAGTGCTTGTCTAAGTGTTTCCTATGAAGTAGCATTTAAAACTGTGTGGGTCCCAGAGTCCCGGTCTCTAACCAGGAACGTTCGTAGCTAAGGAGTGCTGAGTCTTGCTATGTGCTCAGTGCTTGTCTAAGTGTTTCCTGTGAATTGCATTAAAAACTGTGTGTGTCCCAGAGTACCCGTCTCTAACCAGGAATGTTCGTAGCTAAGCAGTGCTGAGTCTTGCTATGTTCTCCGTGGTTGTCTAAGTGTTTCCTATGAAGTAGCATTTAAAACTGTGTGGGCCCCAGAGTCCCCGTCTCTAACCAGGAATGTTCGTGTCTGAGGAGTGCTGAGTCTCGCTATGTGCACAGTGCTTTTCTAAGTGTTTCCTATGAAGTAGCATTAAAAACTGTGTGGGTTCCAGAGTCCCCTTCTCTAACCAGGAATCTTCGTAGCTAAGGAGTGCTGAGTATTGCTCTGCAATCAGTTCTTGTCTACGTGTATTTTATGGATTATCATTAAAAACAGTGTGGGTCCCAGGGTCCCCGTCTCTAACCAGGAATATTCGTAGCTAAGGAGTGCTGAGTCTCGCTATGTCCTCAGAGCTTCCCTAAGTGTTTCCTATGAAGTAGCATTAAAAACTGTGTGGGTCCCAGAATCTCCATCTCGAGCCACGAATATTCGTAGCTAAGGAATGGTGAGTCTCGCTATGTGCTCAGTGCTTGTCTACGTGTTTCCTATGAAGTAGCATTAAAAACTGTGTGGGTGCCAGAGTCCCCGTCTCTAACCAGGAATGTTCGTAGCTAAGGAGTGCTGAGTCTAGCTATGTGCTCAGTGTTTGTCTAAGTGTTTCCTAAGTAGTAGCATTATAAACTGTGTGGGTCCCAGAGTCCCCATCTCTAACCAGGAATGTTCGTACCTAAGGAGTGCTGAGTCTCGCTATGTTCTCCGTGGTTGTCTAAGTGTTTCCTATGAAGTAGCATTAAAAACTCTGTGGGTCCCAGAGTCCCTGTCTCTAACCAGGAATGTTTGTAGATAAGGAGTGCTGAGCCTTGATATGTGCTCAGTTCTTGTCTAAATGTTTCCTATGAAGTAGCATTAAAAATTGTGTGTCGCAGCGTCCCCGTGTCAAACCAGGAATGTTCGTAGCTAAGGAGTGCTGAGTCTCGCTATGTGCACAGTGCTGTTCTAAGTGTTTCCTATGATGTAGCATTAAAACCTTGTGGGTCCCAGTGTCCCCGTCTCTAACCAGGAATTTTCGTAGCTAAGGAGTGCTGAGTCTCGCTATGTGGTCAGTGCTTGTCTATGTGTTTTCTATGAATTATCATTAAAAACTGTGTGGGTCCCAGGGTCCCCGTCTCTAACCAGGAATGTTCATAGTTAACGAGTGCTGAGTCTCGCTATGTGCTCAGTGCTTGTCTAAGTGTTTCCTATGAAGTAGCATTAAAAACTGTGTGGGTCCCAGAGTCCCCGTCTCTAACCAGGAATTTTCGTAGCTAAGGAGTGCTGAGTCTCGCTATGTGGTCAGTGCTTGTCTATGTGTTTTCTATGAAGTAGCATTAAAAGTGTGTGGGTCCCAGAATCCCCGTCTCTAACCAGGAATATTCATAGCTAAGTAGTGCTGAGTCTTGCTATGTGCTCAGAGCTTGCCTAAGTGGTTCCTATGAAGTAGCATTAAAAACTGTGTGGGTCCCAGAATCCCCGTCTCTAACCAGGAATGTTCGTAGCTAAGGAGTGCTGAGTCTCGCTATGTGGTCAGTGCTTGTCTATGTGTTTCCTATGAAGTAGCATTAAAAACTCTGTGTGTCCCAGAGTCCCTGTCTCTAACCAGGAATGTTCGTAGCTAAAGACTGCTGAGTCTCGCTATCTACTCAGTGCTTGTCTAAGTGTTTTCTATGAAGTAGCATTAAAAACTGTGTGGGTCCTAGAATCCCTGTCTCTCACCAGGAATGTTCTTAGCTAAGCAGTGCTGAGTCTTGCTATGTGCTCAGTGCTTGTCTAAGTGTTTCCTACAAAGTAGCATTAAAAACTGTGTGTCGTAGCGTCCCCGTCTCAAACCAGGAATGTTCGTAGCTAAAGAGTGCTGAGTCTCTCTATGTGCTCAGTGTTTGTCGAAGTGTTTCGTAAGTAGTAGCATTAAAAACTGTGTGGGTCCCAGGGTCCCCGTCTCTAACCAGGAATGTTCGTAGTTAACGAGTGCTGAGTCTCGCTCTGTGCTCAGTGCTTGTCTAAGTGTTTCCTATGAAGTAGCATTAAAAACTGTGTCGGTGCCAGAATCCCCGTCTCGAACCAGGAATATTCGTAGCTAAGGAGTGGTGAGTCTCGCTATGTGCTCAGTGCTTGTCTACGTGTTTCCTATGTAGTAGCATTAAAACCTGTGTGGGTCCCAGAGTCCCTGTCTCTAACCAGGAATGTTCGTAGCTAAGGAGTGCTGAGTCTCGCTATGTGGTCAGTGGTTGTCTATGTGTTTCCTATGAAGTAGCATTAAAAACTGTGCGAGTCCCAGAGTCCCCGTCTGTGACCAGGAATTTTCGTGGCTAAGGAGTGGTGAGTCTCGCTATGTGCTCAGTGCTTGTCTACGTGTTTCCTATGAAGTAGCATTAAAAACTGTGTGGGTGCCAGAGTCCCCGTCTCTAACCAGGAATGTTCGTAGCTAAGGAGTGCTGAATCTTGCTATGTGCTCAGAGCTTGCCTAAGTGTTTCCTATGAAGTAGCATTAAAAACTGTGTGGGTCCCAGAGTCCCCGTCTCTAACCAGGAATGTTCGTAGTTAAGGAGTGCTGAGTCTTGCTATGTGCTCTGTGCTTGTCTAAGTGTTTCCTATGAAGTAGCATTAAAAACTGTGTGGGTCCCAGAGTCCCCGTCTCTAACCAGGAATGTTCGTTGCTAAGGAGTGCTGAATCTTGGTATGTGCTCAGTGCTTGTCTAAGTGTTTCCTATGAATTGGCATTAAAAACTGTGTGTGTCCCAGAGTCCCCGTCTCTAACCTGGAAAAGTTCGTAGCTAAGGAGTACTGAGTCTTTCTATGTGCTCAGTGCTTGTCTAAATGTTTCCTATGAATTGGCATTAAAAACTGTGTGGGTCCCAGAGTCCCCGTCTCTAACCAGGAATGTTCGTAGCTAAGGAGTTTTGAGTCTTGCTATGTGCTCAGTTCTTGTCTAAGTGTTTCCTATGAATTGGCATTAAAAACTGTTGGTCCCAGAGTTCCTGTCTCTAACCAGGAAACATTCTTAGCTAAGGAGTACTGAGTCTTGCTATCTGCTCAGTGCTTGTATAAGTGTTTCCTATGAAGTAGCATTAAAAACTATGTGGGTCCCAGACTCCCCTATGAATTATTTTTGTTTCCTATGAATCATTCATGTGGTTTCAAGTGGGAGCAGGGCCCAGAAGCTGTCATGGCTGCCATCATCATCACCACTGTCTTCATCACCACCACTGTCTTCATCACCATTGCCGCCATTATCATCGTCAGCATCGTCACCATGTTTGTCCATTCTGCACAGCTGGATTCCGCTCTACCCTCCCGCTCCGGGGCCCCTGCTCTTAGAATTCAAAGGCTTCTGCACCGCCGCTTGTGATGGTGCATGCCTCACGCCTGGTACCTACAGAATGCTTCATTAATGTGTGCTCTTTTGTTGCCTAAAGCACATCGTTGTTAAGATGCAATCAGCTTCTCATCCAAAGTCGCGGGCTAACGTGCCTGATATAAAGGCCTCTGAAAAGAGTCGGGTAAATGAGCGCATGCAGAATGCTCTTTGTAATTCTGGGTGGACGCAAGATCCCTGAAATTCCCTTTGGCGTCCTCCTCCGGCCTCATCCTGCTCGGCGCTGGGAGCTGCAGATGGTAGAGCAGGGCTGCGAAGGGCTGACAAGGCCTGTCCATCAGCCACCCAGCGGGGCTCCTCAGGGACCACCCGTCTCTCCGGTTCTTCCACAGGAGCTGACTGCACGGACAGGCAATCTGGCTGCCAACTGTCCAACAGGACTGGGACCCGAGTCTGGGGTGGCGGTGCACGCCCAACCAGGTCCAGGGAGAGTGAAGGGGCCCCAGGACGGCCCGCAGGCCCAGGCTGGAGCTGGGTGGAGGCTGCTGGAAGCTTCTCAAGCAGAACCTGTGGGTCCTCGAGATGTGGAGTGGGCTGGCGTGCAGGCAAGCTGGCTCTGTCCTTGACAGGGTGCCTGCGGCGGCAGGCGTCCAAGCGAGGCTGCCCAGGGAAAGGGGCTCACCCAGGAGCTTTCGGGGCCCAGGGCAGCTGGCGGGCTGTGTGCTGCCGTCTCTGTGAGCCGACAGGGGCAGTTTGGAAGGGAGACCCCGCGGCCCCACGGCGCCCTCGGGCCACACCCTCTGCGAGTCCTGTTCTTCAGCTTCCGCCCCACACCAACCTGCCGGCTTAGTCTCGGGGCCCCTTCTGATCACTGGTGAAAACAAACGCTGCAGAAGCGGGACAGCTGCCGAGGGAGTCACAGTGGGGGGTGTATTTCCGGTCCTTTCTTCTGAACCAGCGGGGCAGACCTGTCCTCCCGGGGGCTGCTCCGTCATCATGACGAGGACCCCCGAGGCTGCAGAGCTCCCCTTTCCAGAGCTGCAGAGCAGCCGGCCAGACTCCCGGCACGGCGGTTACCAGTGTCCTCGACTCATCCCCCGGCCGTGCGGGCCTTCCGTGTGCCGGGAGCTGCCGTCCGCACGGGGTGTACAGAGAGCCGAGCCCGAGCCCCAGGAGCTTCCTTCCCAGTTGGAAGGAGGGAGGAGGGAGAAAAACTAACAGGTGAATACATGCTTCCGCATGGTAACGCACAGCCTGGACCCACACGGCACAGGGATCTGATCCCAGCCTGGGGGGAGGGATGCCCTCGGCAGGAAGTGACTCTCAGACTGAGAAAGACCCGCGAGCATGACGGGAGAGCCCCCGGCCTCCACGGGGCAGCAGTCCCGCCCTCGGGGGAGGGAGACGCGGGTGTCCACTCTGCCAACATGGAGCCTGCCCAGGGAAGGGCAGCGGCCAGAACAAGCGTGGGAAGATGGAAGCGGCCGGGCCAAGGAGGTTGGAGGCTGTTCTTGTAGTCTGGGCTCTGACCCGACACATGGTGGGAAGGTACCGCAGGCCTTTCCGCACGACGGTCTCTCGCCAGGCGGACGGCAGACGGCAGAGACTTGGGGCTGCAGGACTGGAGGCGGGTCAGGAGTCTACCGCAGGGGTCCGAGGGGCGGAGAGGTGCCGCACAGTGGCGGGGCGTGACGGCGTGAGAGTGGTCAGTCCTCTGTGTGCTGAGGCTGCTGTTGGTGGGAACTTCTGTCTCTTAAGGGTTCACAGAAAAGAGGCAGGCCCGAGGACCGCCCCAATATTTCGTGTGTTTGCGTCCATGGACAGCTGGGGATAGAACAGCAGTTTTCATTGATGGGGAAGACCAGGGGGAAACAGAACCTTCTGGGTGGTATTTGAATCCTGGAAAAGCGATGCTGAGTGGGTCTGGAGAGAGAAAAGGGAGAGTTTGAGAATACTTTGCGGGTAATAACAGTCGAGTCTGGATGCGGGCATGAAGGCAAGCGAGGGGTCAAGACTGATTGCTGGGGTTCTGCAGCTCTTCCAGGGCGGCCTGGCTGGTTGGGGGTGGAGCACACTCAGGCTCAGAAGTGTGTACTCAGCTTCCGCATTCTAAGCACCCTCCTTTGTGAGGTTAGACCAACACAGTGCTCCTGCTAACGTTATTTCCTGAGCACCTCGGAGGAACCAGGTGTCTCCCAGATGGCTGGGGAAGCCTCAGTCCAGGCTGCCCAGAGACAGACCAGCTAAGGCGAGAGGTCCCCGGGCCGCCGTGGCCTGGCAGCACCGTTCGTAGGTGGCTACAATGTGAAGGAGACACAGACAAGACTGGAAGCGGGACTCAGCGTGGGAGCAATTTCCTCAGCTACCCGAGAGGCTTCAGCAGGCTGAAGTCCCTTGTCATTTCGGCAGACCGTGATCTTGAGGCAATTTAGCACATTCAGGAATGAGCTGAGGTGATGGAAAGGGTTAGGGAGTTTCAGAGATCTGTGTTCAGTCCTGCAATTTACCACTATTTAGTCTTAGGAAAGTGATTTTAAGTTCTCTAAGCTTTATTTGGAAAGAAAAAAAAAGGATCTAGCACTTATGATGCAAGTTGCTTTGAAAAGTGCAGATAATGTGTGAAACACTATGAGCATCTAACTGGGCACTTGATACTGATTAACAAATGGGACAGATAGCGATGATGAGATTATGGTGGTGATGATGATAATGGTGGTGATGATGATGGTAATGATGACTGTGGTGATGGTGATGGTGGTGATGTTGATGGTGATGTGATGGTGCTGGAGATGATGAAGACAGTGGTGATGTTGGGGATGTTGGGGATGTTGGTGATGATGGTGGCAGTGATGGTGGTGATGATGATGATGATGGTGATGGTGGTGGAGATGATGATGCCAGTGGTGATGTTGGGGATGTTGGTGATGTTGTTAATGGTGATGACGGTGGTGATGGCAGTTGTGGTGATACTGATGATAATGGTGATGCTGGCCATGGTGATGGTGATTAAGGTGACAATATCAATGAGAATAAACAGTTGTTAGCATGTGCATCCTTTCCCCAGGAAAATTATACATTGGTTCCAACATTTCCAAACTGCCAGTACTTTTTACTTCATAATGTAAAGAGGTTTTTTTTTTTTTTTTTTTTGCACTTACTCATGGTAATGTTATTTTGGGTGTGAATATTCCACTTGATGCCACACATCTCAGTGAAAACTGAAAGTGCAGTCAAACATCGCAACACGCTCAGACATCCAGATGTAGTGATACTCTGCCCAACAAGCACAAGGATATGTGATGGTTACTTTTTTCAGTTTTCATTCTGTCATTTGGCATTGGACTGACTTGGGTGTTGCAATAATAGCTATCAAGAGATATGAATGTGTACCAGACACTTGAAAAGAATTCAGAGAGAATGGCATATTGTTGCTGGAATCTGATACGTGAAGCAAAAATGCAGGCAGGCTGCTGCTCTTGCATGAAGCTAAGTGGTTGCTAGAGGAAGGACTAACGGGTCTGCTTGGGGCACAGTGTCTTTTCTGCACAGACTCTTAGGTGTGATACGGCCTAAAAATAGCCGAGCTCTGCTCTGGGTTGTCTGGGGAATAGCTTTTGGACTCTCAGCTGCTGCAGCTACAAAAAGCAATATGCTCTTTGGAAAGGTATTAGGCTGGGGTTTTGTTCTGCTAGCATTGCTTCAAATTGTCTCTCCTGGAACAAGCAGAGCCAACCTTCCTTCTTCCTGAGGAGGTGGAGGAGGAGAAAGGGGTGAAGGAGGGGCTGCCAGGCAGATCCTGGCTCTGAGCCACACACCTGTGAGGGGCACATGCACGCACACACATGCACAGACACACACATGCACAGACACACACATGCACAGACATGCGCGCGCACACACACCCCCCACGCACATGTGCACACACATGTAAACGTGCACACACACATCCACACACATGCACGAGCACAGGTGTGCAGTGGGCACACACACATTCACACACACGCACACACACGCACACATGCACACACATGCACGAGCACAGGTGTGCAGTGGGCACTCGCGCCAGAGAGCCTGCACACGTGCACACACACATGCACACATGCACACATGCACACCCCCACGCACATGCACACGTGCACACACACGGAAACACACACACATGCACACACATTCACACACACGCACACACATTCACACACACATCCACACTAATGCACGAGCACAGGTGTGCAGTGGGCACTCGCACCAGAGAGCCTGCACACACACGCACACACATGCACACATGCACACCCCCCACGCACACATACACACACACCCACACACATGCACGAGCACAGGTATGCTGTGAGCACTCGTGCCAGAGGGCCTGCACACGCATGCACACACATGCACACACCCCCACACATGCACACACAAACCCACACACATGCACGAGCACAGGTGTGCAGTGGGCACTCGCGCCAGAGAGCCTGCACATGCATGCACACGCATGTACACACGCACACACCCCCCACATACACACACGCACACATGCACACACACAGCCCCACACACACGTACACACACACCCACACACATGCACGAGCACAGGTGTGCAGTGGGCACTCGCGCCAGAGAGCCTGCACACGCACACACACGTGCACACACGCACACCCCCCATGCACACACACACAGACCCACACACATGCACGAGCACAGGTGTGCAGTGGGCACTCATGCCAGAGAGCCTGCACACACATGCACACACATGCACGCACACACACTCCACACACTCGCACACACATGTAAACACACATGTAAACACACATGCACACGCATGCACAGGCACACACACGCATGCACACATTCACACACATGCAGACACATTCACACATGTGTGCACACATGTAAACATGCACACATGCATATGAATGCACACACATACACACACCCAACACACACGCATGTGCGCACATGTAAACATGCACACACGCATGCAGGCACATGCACACACATGCACACACCAACGCACACCACACCCACACACACGTGCACACACATACACACACAGACATACACACATGCACACATGCACACACATACACACACACACCCCTGGGTAATTCAAAATTCCCAACTATTTTTTCAAAGTACACAGGTCATTGGGGCAAATCTGGAATGTGTCTCCAGTGATTTCTGCTTTTTCAATAATATTTTAAATTGTCAGGAAAGTATATTTGTAGTTTTTCAATGCCATGTTTTCACAGAAAAACAAATAAGTCCTTTAAACTCATGGAAGTGTGAAGCAAGTTTATTTGCCTAAATAGGATATTCCAAGTGAAGCTCTGAGCAAAGTTCCTGGCATGTAATGAAGACTCAGTCAATACCAGTTCTCCCCACCTCCACCACCACATTCTCCACCATCACCACCAGCCCCACCACTGCCATCACTAGCATCACTGTTATCCATCTCACAAAAGGTGAAGAGATGTTCTAACACAACCTGAGCACATGAGCATTGACTGTTCACATTAGGGGACCTCAGTGAAAGATGGACCTGTGGCTCCTCTGGAGCTTGGGGTCAATGGGGTCTTTGTGAGTAGGGAGTGGGGAAGTTGGGCTGACCACAGACCAGGGGCCCTGCACCAAGGTAGCCCATTGCCCACTGGATGGGGAAGTGGGATGTGACTGATCAGCTGTCCAGGGTTAATCTTCCTAGGGTTGGAGGTCACATGGTAGGAGATGAACTCTGAATCATTTTGAAGTTTAATCTCAAAGCAAACTACCAAACAAAGGGTTTCTCTGATTTTATTTTTCTTTTCTACTGAACTGATGGGCTGAGGCAGGCCAGTCTTTCTACTACTTCATGGATAGCATTCGACAAAGCTGAGAATTCTTACACAATTCCCTTGAAACAGAGCCTGAGTCTGAGGCCATGGATGAGCCTTCCTGGTGGGATTGTAAGGAAGGAGAGAGGAGGACCCAGGAGAGGTGGGGTGTACCCAGGGAGCCTCTCGAATGAGCTGGGGTAATCAGCACTTTACTCTCCTTCCACGCAGGGCTTCCCCTGAGACTCAGCTCCTGAGCAGATGGCATTCACGGTGGTAGTCAGGCCCTCACTGCCCGCAGCCCGCAGATTGGGGTGAAACCTCAGCTCCCGTGTGACCCTGCCAGTCTCTCTCCCCTCATCTGTGTGACAGTGATAGAGCCCAGGAGTCTTGGTGGCTGGGGGGGGTGGGTCACAGAGCAGCCTCCTCTGCAGGGCGCCCTAGCCTTGGGCCCCCAGTATCTTTAAATATAACCCATGGGGTTCCACTGGTCCCCCCTCCCTGAGCCCTTCGTGACTGCCCCTCCCTGGGGCTCACAGAGGAAGTGGGTCCCTGAAGGGGCAGGACGAGCATGGCCTCCAGCTGGACCAGCTGCTTCCTTGGTTCCCTGGCTCACCTGGAGCCCGGGCCTGCGATCGGAGTGAATCTTGCTCTGGGTTCCCGCAGACCTCCTGCCACCTTTCTGCTGGGGACCTTGGCTGTCCGGGAGACACCAGCCCTGCTCCCCTGCAGCCTGGGCCTCGAGACAGGAGCCTGGGCTGGAAGCAGACGGGGGAGAGCCCCTCATGGACGGCTCCTGGTCCAGGCCCAGAGTGTGCGCCTCCCACCCAGCTTTCCCTCATCGTGTCCTTGAAGCAGCCGCGAAGGGTCTGCGGCCCGTGGGGAGGCTGACCTGAGC